GTTTAAAATCATTTAGTTTAGTTTTAGTTTCAGGTTTTCTGACATCAAACATTAGATGTTTTCACAGTGAAGCAGTGAACTTCATAAAAACACAAGTGATGAGAAGATAAAGTTACAATTGTTCATACTGTTCATGTTTTCAGTGGTTCCTGCAGATGTTCAACAGTTGGTGTTGATTCCAGAAGAGGCTAATGAAGAATGGAGATCTGGTGTGGACCAGCAGAATCCAGAGCCTCTCCACATAAAGAAGGAGGAGGAGGAGGAACTCTGCACCAGTCTGAAGGAAGARCAGCTCAGAGTGAAAGAGGAGACTGATGCCACCAGGTCTCCCTCCACTGCAGTTGATTTGAAGAGTGACGATGATGAAGAGAAACCTCTGTTGTCTCAGCTTCATCAACACAAAGTGGAAGATAGAGATCCTCCAACCTGCAGCTCATCTGACTGGATGGAACCAGTGACTGATGGGGAGGATGATGATGATGATGATGGTGATGATGGTGGTGGTGGTGGTGGTGGTGGTGATGGTGATAATGATGGTGACGATGGTGGTGATGATGATGATGATGATGTTGGTGATGATGTTGGTGATGATGATGGTGATAATGATGATGATGGGAACAATCCTGATTTTCAGCCAAAACTTAAATCAGATTCTGGGTCAAAAACTGAAAACAGCTTCAAAGGCTGGAAGCGCAGGCTTCCTGAGTCAAGRGCAAACAGCCTCAACAAATCTTTGAGCTGCTCTGAGAGACTCATGAAAAATAAGTCAAAACTAAAGTCCTCCAGTTGTTTGGTTACTAAGAAGTCTTTAAAAGTGGGAGAAAAAGTCCCGTCCCTCAGTAAAGTCCAGACAACACAGAAATCATTTAGATGTGACGACTGTGGCAAAAGATTTAGCAGAAAAGCAGATCTAAACAGACATACAAGAATCCACAGAGGAGTGAAACAGTTTGGTTGTGAACTCTGTGGACATAGATTTAGCTGTAAATCACATTTAAACACACACATGAGGATCCACACAGGACAGAAACCATTCGCCTGTGATGTTTGTGTAAAAAGATTTAACCAAAAATCAACTTTAAACACACACATGAGGATCCACACAGGACAGAAACCATTCGCCTGTGATGTTTGTGTAAAAAGATTTA